GTATGGAATAGCAGCCTCACTGGCATATGGACTGTTCTGTAGATTATTAATACAAGTGGAGCTGTCTTTAATTTAACTTTATCGCTAGAAATAAAAAGGTTTTAAGACGAATTCGCGTGGATGGAATGGCCCTCGTTTTTAAGGAAAGCAACGCAAAAAAAAAAAAAAAAAAAAAAAAAAAGGGAGTTCTGTGGTTCCAGTAAGGCTTTGTGCGTTTGTTTCTTCAGTCCAAGTGCCGTGTGTCTGTACCACGTCGCGGGGCGTCTCTCCGTAGCGCTCTGCCTGGCAGAGCGTAGCTTAAAATCCCAAATTGAGAAGGAATTAAAAAAAAAAAAAAAAAAACCAACCAAACAAAAACAAAACAACTAAAGAATTTGGGGCTTGCAAAGCCCCAGGATTTAGGCCATCCAATCTTTTTTTTTTGTTTTTTTTTTTTTGTTAAGATATTTATTAGGGTAGCTTACAGTATTAACCGTAAATTGCAGTTTACAGTATTTCTACATTACAGCCATATGACATCAAGCCTTTGATTGTCTGTTTTTTCTTTTGCTAGTTCTTTTGGCTTGCCTTCCTGATCAGTCCTCGCCTGTGGACTGGCTTTAGCTATTCTGTGTCACCCAAGGCAAGAAGACCGCCCGCCCGAGGAACATCAAAGCTGCTCTAGTTTTTTGGTCAACAGCTTAACAGGTGCTTGGCTAGCGGCTGTTTCAACTATTTTAAGTCCACAGCAAAAGGTTTAAGAACTTAATTAGACAAGGGGGAAGTGTTTAAACTTAAAATGCCACTTAAATAAAAAATAAAAAAAATAAAAAAATAATAAAAAAAAAGAGCATTCAGGTCTGTATGTCATGTACTGTGTTTGGTATTTCAGAAGACCATCCTGATTTAAGGTGCCACAGCTGCTTCCTCAGGGATTGCACTGCCATTTCACTCTGCCTGACTTTCTCCCACTGTACCATGAGGTTTGTCAGCAGATCTCCAGCACCCAGGCTCCCTTGTTTGTCACCAGGGAAGCCGGGCGCGTTTTCCTTTCTCCTGGGGAAGCTTGTGGTGTAATGAGTGAACTTCAGGAGCTTAGAAACTAATTTGGTAGAGAAATCCTCAAGGGAAGAGCTACAATCATAGACATTTCTATCAACCATCGGGAGCCCAGGAACTTAGTTCTCTTCTTAGCAAAATCTTTTCCGAGTCTGTCTGATCCGGCTGGGGGTGGGAGACGGGGCATCTGAGTTGCTTAGCAGGTAGTATTTACCCCATTTTGAGTAAATTTATTTTGAGTTTTTATTTTTACATCGTTGTTGGAAGTTCACTGCTGTTCTCTGGCTCGCGGAGTGCTGTGCCACGTAGCTTTTCACCCGAAGCTGCGCAGTTAGGAAAAATCGCACTCGTGCATTCTTATTCTTTATTTTTTTTTTTTTAGGAAACAGGCTTTCATTGCCCCTTTCGAGAGTCAGTCCGCAAACAGCGCGTCGTGGTGTTGCACACACGGTACAGCCGCTCCCGCGGTCGGGTTGCACGGGGAGACCGTCGCTCCAGCCCCCTCCCCGCAGTCAAACGGAGCCGCTCCCCCAGCTCCCGGGGGAGCGAGCGGAGCCGAGCCCGGGGCTCGGCCTCCAGGTATTGCCCCGGCGATGCTGGCAAAGCTTTTTTTGAGCAGGACGCCTTCGCGCCCCGAGTCCCGCCCGAGGAAGCGCGTCTGTTGGGTGCAGGGTGCGCAGCGTCCCGTGGCGAGACGCTCGCGGTGCCGGTACGTGCCGTGGACTGGAAAATCGCTTTAGGCTTCTTTCCTTCCTTTGATTGACCCTCGTGTCCCGTGAGCAGTGTTGTCCCAGCTGTATAATTTGGAAGTGATTTACTGGAATTACAAAAACTATCTTTTTTTTTTTTTTTTTTTTTTTCTTTTCCTTTTTTCTTTTGGCTTTTGCTCTGGCTGCTTTAGGAAACTTATGCAGGAGAGATGGCACAAGAGGGCTAAAAACAGAGTGGGGGTCAGGGACTTGATTTTTAAGCAGCTTGAATGGTTTCTTTTGTTTTTTAAGAGATGCACTTGCCTATGATACTGTCTCTCCAGTGAAATGATTACTGCTCCATTACTCTATTGATACAATATTGTGCATGCTAGTGTCGTATTTCTATACAGTAGCTTGAAATTTATTAACTTATACTGTAGATGTTATGTATTCCTATGACAAAATAGTCTTCAAAAATTTTTTAAAGTTTTTTAATTTATTTTTTTCTTTTGGGGGTAAAGTTTGCTCTACCAAATAGTGATCGTAACAAACTGATCTGTTATGGATGTTGCTATAGTGACATGCAATTATATATGATTTTGTTTTTAAAAAGGAAAAAAAAGCAAAAGAAAACACCAGTGTTAGCTTAATCTTAATGTCTGGTGTTCGTCATGGTGAAATTATAACTATTACAGTGTAGGAGAACAATGACTGTGTTCTTTGAATGAGCCTTTGTTTGTGCTTTTTGTCATGTTATGCAGTGAACTATTTTTAAGGTCTAATCAGTGATTATTTTTCCAACTCCGTGTTTCTGTAAGGAATTATTTCACACACGGACCATTCTTAGCAGTTTTTCCTCAGTGATGGAATATCATGAATGTGAGTCATTATGTAGCCGTCGTACATTGAGCAAATAAACTTACAGATCTGACGTCAGCGCTGCTTAATTGTTATCGCCTCTGTCGAGTTGCTGGGGGGGGGGGCTCCGCGGGCTGGGGGGCTCCGCGGGCTGGGGGGCTCCACGGGCTGGGGGGCTCCACGGGCTGGGGATGAGCAGCCTGGTTCTGCTCCCCGGGGACCCCAGCGCCGCGGGTTAAGGGTTCACCAGGCTCCCAGCCTTCCCGAGAGGCTTCCCCATGGCTGGGGGAGCCACGGGCTGGGCCCTGGGGGCTCCCTTGGGATTTGGGGGGGGGGGGGGGGGTGTTTGGGGGGGTGTGTGCCTCCCCACCTGCCTCCCTCCCTCCCTCCCCGATGTTTTTTCCGCTCCAGGCCGCGCGCGGTGACTCACGCTGTAAAAATACCCCCCTCCCTTGGAAACCATAAACCGAAAATGCACCTCGACTCACGTGGCCTGCGAGGGTTCACCCCCCCCCCCCGGGGAGGGGGTGGGGAGTGGGGGTACGGGACAGACACCCCCGGGGAAGGGGCTGGGAACAACCCCGGGCGATGGCAACGAGGGGCCGGGGGCTCGCCGAGCCCCCCCCGGTGCAGCCTCCCAGCGCCGTTGCGCCCTGGCAGCCTCCTAGCTAAGGCTGGGGGGGCTTCTGGGGAGGCAAGAGCCACCGTGGGTGGCACCCACGTGTGTGTGTGTGTGTGTGTGTGTGTGTGTGTGTGTGTGTGTAGCACTGGCTGTGCCCGTGGGGGTGGGTGTCAGGGACCCCCCAGAGATGTCCCGGGGCGGGGGGGGGGCGCAGAGAGAGAAGGGAGGAGTGTGAGCCACCGCTTGCCGGGCAGGATTTAGCCCTAAAATGGGGTGCACATGTGCCCGGGGCAGCACAGGCAGAGGCGCTGGGGAGGGGGCACAACCCCCCCTGGGTACCCCCAGCCCTTCTCCCTCCCCTGCAGCTGGGGGGGGGGGAGCTGCAGGCAGCCCCCCCCTCACCCCATCTCCATGTTGTAGCCTGACAGATGGATGCCCACCCCCCCCCCCCAAAACCCCTCCAGCGGCATGAGACCTGACAAGCTCATCACACCACCCTCCCCGCCTGCCCCCCCCCTTTCCCCCCCCCCTCCAGGTGCTGCAGGGCTGGGCGGGGGGGGGGAGGGGGTTGATGTTCATCGCCCCTCCATTCCCCCCACCCCCCCCCCCCCAAGGCTGGGCTGCCGGTGGCTGCAGATCGCTATGGCAACCATCTCCATCACTGGTTGCCGTGGCCACCCGTCCCCAAAATGACACACGCGCACGGGGGTGGGGTCCCCCAAGCTCACGTGTGCCCCCCGGCAGCAGGAGCCAAACCCCCCGCCCCACCCCGAGACCTGCCAAACTCATCACACCCGAGACTGCTGGGGCGGAGGTGTCGGGGCTCAGGGAGAAGGGGCTCTGGGGGGGGGGGACACACACACACGGAGCGCCCCCCCTGGGACTCGGAGAGGGGCCTCGCAGCTGCGGGATTCCTCCCAGGTCACCGTCTGGCTCTGGGATGACTCAGGGGGGGATTAGTGGGATTTGTCAGAGCGGGAACATCGCAGCCGCCGGCCGGGCCTCGGCCATGTAGGGCCGGTCGTGCCGGGGGGTGCGGGGGGGGCACGGGGCCAGTGGGGGCCAAAAGGCATCAGGACCACGATCCTCCCTCCCCACCATGTCCAGCCCCCCAGCAGCCCCTGAGCTGAACCCCCCACCCTGCGTGGCCCATCACAGTGGGGTGAAAGGAAATGGGGGCACACTGGGGGTGCAGGGTTGGGGCTTGAGGGGCCACCCTGCCAGGGACGGGGGGGTTTTCCAGCCAGAATTTCTGCCCATGAAGCCCCTGTTGGCCCCTGGGCTCTCCTGTGACCCCGGGGGGGGGGTGGATACCCAGGGTGGTGACACTGGGGTGCTGAGACCTGAAATGTTCTGATCCGGGATGTCGAGACCCAGAGTTTTGGAGACCAGGGGTGGGGGGAGTTGGGGTGCTGAGCTCTGGGATTTGGGGGGGGACACAGGATTTTGGAGATCAGGTATGTCAGTGACCCAGGACATCCGACACGCGGGATGTTGGAGACCTGGGGTGCTGAGACCCGGAGTTTTGGAGACCCGGGATGCAAAGCCATGGGATGTGGGAGGCCGGGATGTGGGGAGCTGAAATGTAGGAGACCTGGGGTGTGGGGATATCCAGGACAGGGAGACTCGGGGTGTGGAGCCCCGCGATGTTGACCCCAGGCTGGTGAGCGGGGCTCGGTGGCCCTTCCGCTGGCCACGCTGGGCCAGCCCGGCCGGAGCAGGGAGCCGTGTTCCCACGCGGCACCGCACAGCCGGGGGGTCCCTGGGGACTGACAGGGCACGGGGACATGTTTCTTTCACCATTTTTTTATTCCGGCTGGTTCTATCGGTTTCTTCACATTGAGTCAAGGCACTCGGTGACCGGGCGAGTAAAAAATAAACAATAAAGAGGGGGCTGCGAGCGGGGTCAGGTGGGGGTGGGTGTGAGGATGCAGCTTGTGCGGGGGGAGCGATGGCAGCTTCTCCTCCTCCTCCTCCTCCTCCTCCTCCTCCTCCTCCTCCTCCTCCTCCTCGCTGACGCCTACTTCTTGGCCGGCTCCTTGGCTTGGCTCTCCACGGTGACGGGGATGGTGATTTCGGCAGACTGGATGGCCGGTTTGGGCAGGGGGGCTTCCACCGTGAGCATGCCGTCGGGGGACAGCGAGGACCGCACGGCCGTGGCTTCCACGCCGGCGGGCAGGCTGCGGGGGGAGAGGGGGGGTGGGGGTCAGGGCTGCGGCACCCACCCCTTCACCCTGCGCCCCAGGGGGTGCCCCGAATTGCTGCCTCCCCTCGCTCCCAGTTTGGGTGAGCAGCATCCCTGGTTTGGCCAGGGAGGGGGGGACGTGGCGGGTGGGCAGGGGTCCCCAAAGGCATCGGGGGGTTGTCAGGATCCCGTCTCCCCTCCTCCCTGGTACTTACGTGTATTTTCGGGTGAAGCACCTGGAGATGAAGCCGTGTTCATCCTGCTTCTCCTCATGTTTGCCTGGAAGATTAAAAAAAAAGACCCCGGGCTGGTTGGCAGGGGCCGGCTGGGCGGGCAGGGTGGCTGGGGGGGGTCGCTGTGCCCGGGGTGCACCTTCCCCTGGCAGATCCCTGCATCACCCCACGCGGGGGTGGGGGGCTGATCCTGCCCGTCCTGATTTCCATTGCTTTAATATCATTTTGGCTCCCCGATCCAGCGGGGCTGGAGCCCGAGCACCAGCACAGGCCTGGGGCCGGCACTCCCGAATCCCACCGGCTGAGGAATTGCCCCCCACCCTGTGTGGATCCCCCCCGGGGCCGGCCCCTGCCAGCACCCCCTCTCCAGACACCAGGCACGCTGCTGGCCCCGTGCCGCGGGGCCTGGGCTTCATCACAGCATCCCTGGCCGAGCCACGCAGGACGCTGTGGGGGAGCATGGGGGGGGGTGGGGGTGGGGGGGCTAAGGGGCTTGTGACACCCCACTGTCCCCTCGCAGGCCAGGGCGTCCCTCCCTACGGTGCTGTCACCCCCACCGGGCTCTTCACCCCTCCATGGCTTGCAGCCGGGGGGGTCCCTCCCTCCCCACACCCCGGCTGGGACAGCAGCCAGTGGGGGTGCACCCTGTGCAGCACCTGCAGCGTGACTGCACCCCGAGACTGAGCTTGTAACGCTGGGCCTTCCTCTTTGCTTCGATTTTCCCCTTTCCCTTTTTCCTCCCCTCCCCTCCCCTCCACCTCCTTTCGCTTCTCCTTCCCTTGCTGCCCAACACTTTTTCCTCTCTGCTTTACCTCGCCGCCCCCTTTTTCCCCCCACCAAGCGCCGGGGAGGCCACCCCACCCCGCTCCCCTGGTCCACCCGCCCCCTGAACCCCCTCCCGCGACGCTCACCCGTTATCTCCACGATATTATCCTTGGTCTTGACCACCAGCTCCTCGGGCGCGAAGTGGTTGACGTCCAAGGTCACCTTCCAGCTGTCGGCGGTCTGACGGATCTCGGAGATGCCGCTGCTGAGCTGGCGGCTCAGCGCCTGCCCGTAGGGTGAGCCGGGCGCCGGCACCAACGCGCTCTCCCGGGGCAGCAGACGGAAATATCCCGGCCAGGCGCTGCCGCTCGGCCACTTGTACCAATCCTCGGGGATATGGGGCATCCCGAAGGACTGGTCGAAGAGGCGGCTGCCATGGTACCAGTCGCGGAAAGGCTCCCAGCTGGGGCTGCGCAGGAAGGTGAAGGGGACGCGGCGCTCGGCCATGGTGCACGGGGCTGCGGAGGGGGGGGGCACCCAGCCGTGGCTTATGAAGAGGGCCCCGTGGCTATTTTTAGCCGTGCGGCTCAGCTGGCTATTAATGGAAATTGCGGCAAGGCCTAGGGAAGGGACGAGAAAATTTCCCGGGGCCGGGGCGGCCGCACGCAGCCGCGTTGGGTAGGAGGCACGGGGATGGGGCTGGCAGCCCCCTCGCATGTGTCCCCCCCTCCCCTGCCAAGGAAATGTCTCTCGCCGTGGGAGGTTTGGCTGGTTGGGAGTGATGGATGGTCCTTGGAGCTGCTCCCGGCCTCACCCCCGCCCGCCCGCATCGCTTGCCCGTAAAACCATCCCGGGGATGCGTGGCCCCGCGGCGGTTTGGGGAGGGGGCTGGGGCCAGGCCAGCACCTCGCGGGGAGGGGGGGGGGGGGATGAGTCAGTGGAGGAGCCCGTGTGCAGCCCCGTGCTCGCTGCATCACCCACCGGCCAGAAGCTTCTGGAGCCCCCCCCCCCCCCCACCACGCAGCACCCTGCAGCCTCGGGGCTCGACACGGCAGTGGGGAACCCCCAGCACCAAGTTGGGGGGAGGCTTCTGCAGCCCCTGGAGGGGGGGGGTCCCTGCGCCCCGTGGTGTTGATGGTGGGGGCCAGGGGGGTCTTAATTGAGCTGATGGGCTTGGGGGTGCTGGAGGGGGCCGGGGGGGGGGGGCTGGAGGGGGCAGCACCCTCTTGGGTTGGTGGGCGGGTGGGCCCCTTTGCTCCGGCTTTTGCCCTGACATCCAGACACATCCCCCCAGTGCCGCCCTCCTGGCACTCGGAAGGAATTCCTGGAGGGGGCCAGACTCCAGGGCCCGATCCCAGGGAAAGGCGCTTTTCCCAGCCCAGCGAGCCCCTGGGACCCCATCACCTCTGCCCCTCCCTCTCTGCACACACCCCCCCCCCCATCCCCTGCTTTGTGGAGGGGGGGCTGACCAGTTTTTGAGGGGCCAGAGGCACCGTGGCGGGATGTGCCTCCCAGGGCTGAGCTCTGGCTGCTTTGCTCGTGACCAGCGCCAGGAGGACGGGTGGTCGCTGAGACCTGACGCACTCAGTGCACGGACGTGTGACCCCAGTGAGCCCTCCCCGTGGGGCGCAGGACACAGTAAGGGGGGGGCTGGGCGGGGGAAATGCCGCAGCAGGGGATTTGGGGGTTGTCCCTCACCCCCCCACCTCTGGTCCCTGCCAAACCCCTTTGTCTGGGGCAGAGCGTTGCCTGTGAGAGGGTGTGAGGGAAAGGGCTGAAAGCAGCTGAGCCGTGCAGGGCCGCATCCTGCCGGGGCTGGCGCGGGCTGGGGGGGGAGCTGGGCAGGGGGTGGGGAGGGCGAGGCGCTGCAGGGACTGCGGAGGTGAGGGGGTGGTGGGAGGGATGCGGGGAAATATGGGAGGGATGCAGGGAGGGACGGGAGAGATGCAGGAGGGGATGCAAGGGGGGGATACCGGGATGCTGGGAGGGATGCAGGGAGGGGTGAGAGGGATGCTGTGAGGGGTGAAGGAGGGGTGGGAGGGTTGCAGGCGAAGGGGAGGGATGCAGGGAAGGCTGCAGGGAGCCAGGAGGGCTGCAGGGGAACCCTCTGCCCCAGCAGCGGGGCCTCCCCAGGGGGTTTCCCCTCTCCCCATAGCTGGATCCGCACGGAGCCGGGGCCGATGCGCTGGGGAAGAGCGAGCCGCCGGTGGCTGAGGACAGAGGTGGGGGAGACAGGTTAACCCCCCCCTGTGCTGCCCCCCCGTGAAGAAACCGCTCTGTGCCCGGCAGAGTCATTTACAATATATACTGTATATTTTATTATAATTGAACCAGCTCACTGAATCTACAGCTGTACTCACAACCCAGAAAAAAAGAGAGAGCGCACGCGCGAGAGGAAAATACTGAAGTATTTCTACAGAGTATTTGTTCCAGTTAGCTCCCTCCACGGCAGGAGACAGAGACTGTAAAAGAGGAAGACTGGAAATTTTCCCTGATGTGCTGGCTTGTCCGCGCCGGCGCTGCAGTCGGGTCTCGGGCTTTCGGGAGCCGCGGCCCCAGGGGAGCTGTAGGGCTGGGGGCTGCAGCCACTGGCAAAATACCTCCCCCCCCCGCCAGTGGCTTGAATTCAGGTATTGTCGGGGGATGCCCCCCCATTTCCCAACAGGGTTTTGGGGCTCCCATGGCCAGTCTGAGCTTCTTTGTGGGGCGATGGGGGGGGGGGGCAGGGGCTGTGGGGTGCACGGGGGCTGCTGCGTCGGGGGCCGGGGAGGGGTGGGAAGGTTTTTGGAGTGCGTGGCTCAGGGGTTCATCAGGATGCTGGGGGCACTCATGCCCTTCATCTCCCCAGGCTCGGGGGGGGGGAGCAGGACCCTTCAGCTTCTCCTCCTGCCACAGTCACACCCAGAGCTGCCGCCCTGCCCGGGGCTGGCACATGGGGACAAGCTGAGCCACAGAGAGTCACCAGCGTGTCCCCTCCTTACCTGTTCACCCCATTTCTAACGGCTCTGCTTGTCTGGGCAGCTTTGCAGAAGGGCGACCAGCGGCTTTGCCAGCGAAGCAGCGGGGTGGCTGGGATGCCCAGGGGCTGCTACCCAGCACAGCCCAGCTCCTGGAGGAGTTTCTCCAAGGGCTGGAGAATCCTCAGCTTGCGGCTAAGCCGGGTTCCTCAACGTGCCAGGTTTGGGGGTTGACCCTGGGGTGCCCCTCCGCTTGCACCTCTGCCCTGCCAGGACCTCTCTGGTTCATCAGGCCGCCAGCTAACGAGGCCGTCGCGTTACCAGCCGAGTTGGAGTCCAGAGGATTCCCCAGCCCAGTCCCGGCTGGCTGGAAACCAGTGTCGAGCGGGACTGCCAAAGCCCAGCTTTTCATCTGGGGGCAGCGGGTTAAGCTGGGCAGCTGCTCTCCCACCCAGGGAGGCTCATCCCCATCGTCCTGCTTCAGCCGGCCGGAAAATGCGGGGCCTGCGAGGATTAAACACCAAAAGCCCCAGGGGCCGGGACTGTCCTCAGCACCCGGAGGCAGGGGAGGCTTTTTTTTTTTTTTTTTCAGAAAATCAGCAAAGTCCTGCAAAAGCGGGGCTGCCAGCAAAGCCCGGGACCCTCCTGCCTCTCTCTTTCTGTGATTAAGTTTAAAAAGCTGCCGCTGGGCCCCAGAGCAGGAGGTGGCCCCGGGCTGCAAGCCCAAAGGCAGGGTATGACAAGCCAAAGCCAGAGGTTGGCTGGATGTGGCCCTGGGGGGTGAAAAATCCCCAGCCCAGCCCTCTGCCCTGTAGCTCCCTCCTCCTGGGGGTGATGGCTCAGTCCCCCTCAAAATTGGGTGAGTTGGGTGGGTCCTGAGCCGGGACGAGCAGCGTTGACCCACAGGGGTGACCCCCCCCCCCCGTGGACCTCCCCGCTCGGGAAGAGATTTGTGGGTGCTGCTGGCTTTTGTTCATCCATGGCTCAGCGTGTGCTTGGGTCTGGGGGGGACCCCAAAACGGTTCGTGGTGGCCCCGTCCCCTGGGACACCGTGGGGACACGGTGACTCCTCTGCCAGGGAAAGCCAGGGCTCGCCTCTGGCTGGCATCACCACCCTCTAGCCGAGCCTGGGCTGAAGAAGCCCCCCTCCTGCCTTCCCCCGCCACCGCTTCCCCAAGGATACGCTTGTGCTAAAAAAGTCAAACCAACCCAAAAAATCTCGGAGGGCTCCTGGGGGGTTCCTCAGCTGCCCCCCTGCCCGCTCGCCCCAAGGTCTCTGCTGAGCAATTTGTTCCCTCGCTCTGTGCTCGCCCACCCCATCCCGCCCCACCCCAGGTGCTCGCAGAAGTAAGAAGATCTCCTCCCCCCTACCCCAGCCCGACCCCCAAACCCCTCCCTGGGCGGGGGGGTGGGGGTGGGAATCGCCCCCTCCCAGGGCGATGCAAGGACCCGTTTGAGTTTTTGGCCCCTGCTTTCCCCCACCGCCACGTCCATCCTTCGCAGCCCCCCGGCTCTTCGCCACCTCCCCGGCGGTCCCTGTCCCTCCTAGGGGTGCAGGTGGCATTGGGAGGGGAGTGTTGGGGGGCGCAGCCGGGATGGCGGGGGGCTGCGCCCGGGTGCCGGGCGGGGGGGTGGTGGGGGGGCTCAGAAGCCGGCGCTCTCCGAGCTGCTGCGGCTGTTGTAGCTGGGGCTGCGGCTGGGGCTGCGGGAGCGGCTGGGGGGGCTGCGAGTCCGGCTGCGGCTGCGGCTGGTGCTGTAGCTGTCGTAGCTGCGGCTGCGGCTGCGGCTGTAGGAGCAGGTGCTCAGCGAGCTGGAGGACGAGGGGCTGGGGCGGTAGTAGGGGATGGGCCGCTTGCGAGCGCTGCAAATGGAAAAGGGAAACTGAGTCAGGGCCCCCGGCGGCGGCTCGGGGAGGGCGTCGGGCACCCCAGCACGGCCGAGCATCCCCGCGGGGCAGCCGGGCTCAGACCGGCTGGGGGGTGTCAGGATGTGGCTGCCCGGCATCACCTCCCCCCCCCCCCCATCCCCTTCCTCCTCCCCAGCCTCCCCCCCTCGGGATGTTAGTCCTGGATTAGGCAGCGGCGAGGGCAGAAAGTGAGCAGGTTAATGTGGCTTTTGTGTTTCCCAGACACCAAAGATTGAAAGCTGCTGAAAAAGAGACGGTCAGGATTAGTGGGAGGCGAGCCACGGCCCGCTGGCGCCTGAGGATGAGGAGGGACGTGGGGAGCACGGGGGCAGTGGGGACACACACACACACACACAGGGCAGCGACGTCTGGAGCCGGTGCAGGAGTGAACCCAGCCCGGTGTTAGTGGCACCAAAGAGAGACACAGGCACAGCCCGGAGGTGGCTGGGTGCCGAGGGCATCCTGAGGTGTGAGGAGACACAGAGGAGCCCAGGAGGAAGAGGAGGAGGACAAGGAGGAGGAGGAAGGGGGGAGGTTACCCTGGGAGCCAGGCGGGCGGCGATGCTCTCCGAGAGGGACCTTGGGATGAAATGGAAAAGGAGAAGTTGGCATCACTGAGGCAGGAGCACGCGGTGCCGGACCCTGGGATGGCGAGGGGTGACGGGGACCGAGGCCGGGGCAGGAGGGCAAGGAAAAGCCCAAGGGCTTGGCAAGGGGGCTGGGGGTGTTCCCCTGGCTGCCCTCTCCCCACAGCATCCTCCAAGCCTTGCAGAAATGGCTCTGCTCCTCCCGAACCCCAAGCAGAGCTGGGTCTGCCGTCCCCATCCATCCCAGGGTGACAGGGATGGGGGGGACGGTCCCTGCGCTGTGTCCTCCAGCCGAGCCCTGCCACCTTCCTGGGGACATCCCGGTAAAACCCAGCTCAGGGATGCAGCAGGAAGGATGCGAAACCAGCCAGTGGTACCCAGGCTGGGAAACCTTCTTCTGGGTTGGGAGCAGCTTTCCCAGTTCCAGGGCATCCTTCAGGGAGGGCTGCAGGGTGCTCCAACCCACCAGCTGAGCAGTATTTCTCCCGTCCTCACTCCTTACAACCTCAGTCCAGCCCAGGCAAAATAAAAACCCTCCCACAGTGAGTCAGAAGTGATTTCTGAAAATCCAGTCCCTCCACCCCACGGCCCTGATCTCCCAGCTGATAGCAGGAGACAAATAGGTCAGGAACGAGGTAATCTCAGCTTGCCACTGGTACCGCCGCCAGCGCTGCATGCTAACGAGGTGCTATATATGCACACAGTGTTTCGTCTGGCACTAAATATTGCCTGTCTTACAGCCTGGGATCCTGAGTCAATAGGATCTCAAGGAGGAGAAACTGGCTTTTGGAGGGCAGGGGAGAGACATGCTCATGGCTGTATGTCTTGCTGGAATATGCACGCACGGATTAAAATGAATTCCTATTTTCATGCCCAAAAATGAGAAGAGATCAGAAGGTTGTAATATAGAAGGCAGTCTGTTTATCTGCCTGTCTGGGTCTGCTGATTCTCTCAGCTGGTCATCCTTGGGGTTACCTATCCTCTGCAGAGCTGCTCATCCATCCATCCATCCATCCATCCATCCATCCACCCATCCATCCTTCCATCCATCCATCCATCCATCCACCCATCCACCCACCCATCCACCCATCCACCCACCCATCCACTCATCCACCCACCCATCCACCCATCCATCCATCCATCCATCCATCCATCCATCCATCCATCCATCCATCCATCCATCCATCCATCCATCCATCCATCCATCCATCCATCCATCCATCCATCCATCCACCCATCCATCCATCCATCCATCCATCCATCCATCCATCCATCCACCCACCCACCCACCCACCCAGGCATTCTCTGGGGTGGCTGGTGGCAGAGCTCAGTGGCAGAGCCTTCGCCACGTGCGGGACCCACCTCGTGATCCTCCTGGGCTCCATGAAGCTGGGGGAGTCACGTCTCCTCTTCCTGATGGGCGAGTAGCTCCTGGAGCGGCGCCGGGCGCGGGCGGGATCGGGGTCACCGTGGCGTGTTCGGGGCTCGTTGTCCTTCTCTCTACAACACGAGGAGGAGGAGGAGAGTCAGGGGTGTGGGCTGGGGTCCCGGGAGGGATGCGGGGACAGCTCCCCAGTGCCACCAGGGCCAGCAATAACCTGTAACTCCTTCCCCAACCCCGGGGGAGCTGCGACCACCCCGAGCTGTGGATGCTCACTGACCCCATTGATGGTACCCGTGCCCCCCGTGCCAAAGGCCCCCCCGGGGGCTGACCTGCTGGCGGGTTTTTTCGGTGAGGGCGAGCGGGAGCGGCTGTGTCCTGCTCTCTTCTCCCGGGAGCGGGAGCGGGACTTGGAGAGGGAGCCACTGGAGCTCCAGGAGCTGCTGCGCTGCCCGGGGCTGGGCGACGGGCTCTTCCTCCGCTCCGAGGCGTGCCGGGAGTGCTTGGCCGACGACTCCGAGCTGCTGTTGGGCCGGCCCCGGTGGTGCCTCTCCTTCACCCTGTGAAGGCAGAGCCCAGCACCTCCTCACATCTCCCCTGCCGAGGCTGGCAGGGTGTCCCCCCAGGAGCCAGGGACCCCAGGTTCCCATGGGGGACCAGTGAGCGCACCTACGTGACCCTAGGTTTTGGTTGGGCTGCATCCCTGATTATAAAGCATGAGGTGCTCACCCACTTGGGATTCTGCATCCTGTGGGATGCTGCAATCCCACATGGCCATCCAGGCACTGCCCTTCATGCTGGGATAATCTCTCGCGGGGATTGACCACTGTGGCTCTTCCCTGTCCCCCATCCCATTCCTATCTCCATCTCTATCTCCATCCCCATCCCCATTTCTATCCCCATCTCCATCCCCATCTCCAACCCCATCCCTTCCCCATCTTCATCGCCCATCTCCATCCCATCCCCATCTCCATCCCTGTCCCTGTCACTGTCTCCATCTCCATCCCATCCCCATCCCTGTCCCTGTCACTGTCTCCATCCCTATCCCATCCCCATCCCTGTCCCTGTCACTGTCTCCATCCCCATCCCGTCCCCATCTCCATCCCCATCTCCATCCCCATCCCTGTCACTGTCTCCATCTCCATCCCATCCCCATCTCCATCTCCATCCTCATCTCCATCTCCATCCCCATCCCCATTCCCATTCCCATCCCTGTCACTGTCTCCATCCCCATCCCCATCCTCATCTCCACCCCCACCCCGTCACTGTCTCCATCTCCATCTCATCCCCATCCCTGTCCCTGTCACTGTCTCCATCCCCATCCCACCCCCATCTCCATCCCCATCCCTGTCACTGTCTCCATCTCCATCTCCATCCCTATCCCTGTCACTATCTCCATCCCATCCCCATCTCCATCCCCATCCCATCCCATTCCCATCCCATCCCCATCCCCATCCCCATTCCCATCCCATCCTCATCCCCATCCCCCTCCTTGTCTCTGTCTCCATCCCCATCCCCACCCCCTGAGCATCCCAACCCTGCCCTGGTCCCCAGCTTGGCCCCCAGAGCTTTGCCTCGATGGGACCAGGCTGCCCGCACAGGGCTGCACCCCAAATATTGGAGACCAGCTCCCACACCCTGGCAGGGACGGCATGACCCCCCCCCCCCCCCCGGCCCCGGGGACCCCCTTACTTCTTGGCGTGGGCGCCGTGGTTCCTGTCGGGGCCGAGCGGTGGGTGGTAGGGGTGGGAGCCCGCCGAGCCCTCCGAGTCGCTGCTGTAGCCAGCGGGGCTGAGCGGCGGCGGCGGGGGGTCCCGGGGGGCCGGGGGCCGCCCCTTGCTCTGGCCGCGGTGGCGGGGCGGCGGCGAGGCGCTGCGGGAGCGATGCCGGTGGCCGTGCTTGACCCGCTCCGGCGTGGGCGACCGGGGGCTGCGGGCACCGTGTCGGCCCCCCCGGGCGCGGGGGGACGGTGGCTCCGTCCTGCCGTGAGCCCGCGGAGAGGGGGACGCCGAGGCTGGCCTCTGGCAAGGGGGGAGAGAAAGAGAGAGAGAGAGAGAGAGAAGGGGGGAAAGGCGGAGGGCGGGGGAAGAAGAGAAGAAAGGAGAAAGGGGATTTTAATGGGGGGGTGCCGGGCCGGGGGCGCGGTTCACAACGTCAACGCACATCGCATAAGGCAGGCTACACAGACGCTACTCTGCACCTTCCTCTCGCCCTCAACAACGTGGGTCATGCAAACCTCCACATGCAAAACGCCAAAAAAAAATAACCAAAATAAAATTTTTAAAAAAACCCAAAGGAAGGGGTGGGATGGGAGCCAAAAAAAAAAAAAAAAAAAAAAAAAATATCCAAGAAACCCCCAAGTCGTCGGGGAGGGAGAGCTCAAAGGGAAAGAAACAACCCCCCCAAAAAACACCTGGGGTGGGGATAAAGCAAACCCCGGCACCCACCCACCCCGACCAAGAAAGGGGAAGGGAAAGAGGGGGGTAAAACCCAAACGAAGGGAGGAAAATGGGGGGGAAAAAAAAAAATATGAGAGGAGGGAAGGTGGGGATGTGGGAGAGAGTAAACCAGACTGAGCCAAGGGGAAGGCATCGAACCAAAGAGGGCTGGAGGTGATGGGGGGGTCTGCTCACACAGAGGCATGCACATATATAGAGAGATATATGTTCAGATATGTGTAGTTTTTATAGATAGTACGGCTTTCAGCTTAAACCAAATTAAGAAACGAGGAGGACAGCACAGAGCGACAATGGAGGGCAAGGCAGGGGGGCAGAAGGCCAGGGGCGAGAAGGCAAAAAGAAACCAAAAAAGAAAGAAGAAAAACCATCCAAATCAACCAAAATAAAATTAAAAAAAAAAAACAAACAACAAAAAAAAACAAAACCAAAGCAAAACTTCACAAATGTCCTCGTTACTGAGATAAACGAATGTCTCTGAGCTCTTCCTGGGACACGCATTGAGCTGTTAGCTGTGACTCTGCAGGGAACTGCTAAGTCCTCATCAGCACTCAACACAGACTTTGCTTTCTGCTTCCTTTTTTTTTTTTTTTTTTTTTTTCCATTATATGCTTTTTTTTTTTTTAAGTCCCTCTTGGTTAACATCCACTTACCAAAAAAGTGGCATTTCCTCCTTTAGTAGGTAAGGTATGAAGAGAAGGGAAAAGCGGGGCAATATAAGTGCATCATTAGATTCACAAAAATGCAAGAGAGAAAGAAAGAGCGAGAGAAGGAGGAGAGACAGAGACAGAGCCAGAGAGAGGAGAAATAAAACAAACCAACTCACTTCTCCTATGGGGGGGAACCCTGGGCCACCGCCGCGGCCGCGGCCCCGTGCTGGGCTCTCAGGGAGAGCTGGGGGGGTTTTGCCCGGCCCTGGGGTCCAGCACACAGCGGCTCCCAAAGATCTGAGCTCCTCCAAGCCGCAGCCACTGCCTGGGTTACTTTCCCCATCTTTGCAAACCAAAAGGATGGGTGAAAACAGCTCCTGCACTGCTGGTCCCGTCCAAGCCGGCAAACCCCGGCTCAGGGGGGGTTTTGGGGGTCTCCTTCCCGCAGTCGCAGCCCGGCGCCGGGTCCCTGAGCATCCCTCGAGGGGCAAATCCTGTGTGGGGCTGAGCCCGGCCGAGGGGATCTAACAGGGTTCGGGGGGGGATTGGGGTGGTGCCAGGTTTGTGTCACTGTGCCTGGGGCTAAGCTGGGGGCCGGTGACCCCAATTTCCCACTGGCCCCTTGTCCCAAACACACCCGGGCAGTTAATCCTCGGGGACGAGGTTCTCCCCGCCCACCCTGCCGTGTCCTAAATGCTGCTTTTCTCCCCCCAAAAAAGAAGCGGGCAAGGTGCTGGGGCGGGAGCCTGAGGGCTGCCGTGAAGATGCTGCGGAAGGGACGTGAGGCCACCGCGTCCCCGCGCATCCCCAGGCATGTCCCCCACCTCCTCCTTGTCCCCATGGAGAAGCCAACCCCTCCAAGCTGGAGCCAAACTGGGGGGCGGGGGGGGGGGGGGGGGCGGATGGAATTGGGGGTTTTTATTTAACGATCTGTTTCTGTTGCGATCGCTCCAGCACGCGGGGAGGCTGGCGGCGAGGGCCAGCCCTGCCCATGGCACAAGCTGCCCTGCAAGCGCTGGGGGACACGGAGCCCCTCTTCAGGGGGGGGTGCAGCAGCCCTGGAAGGGGGGTTCAGCTGAGCCCGCGTCCGGGCAGGGAAAAATCAAAGCAGAAATGAAGAAGAAGAAGAAGAGGAAGAAGAAGAAAGAGAGGGGTTTCCTCTTTCCCCGGGCGGCGTTTTGGTGCTGGCCGGCCACGCAGCGGGGTTGGGCTGTGGGGTTCCCACTCAAACCCTGGGGTGGGGGCAGAGGGGTGTCCTGCCCAGGCATGCAGGAAGGCAACGAAAAGAAAACTAACCCAAATAAATCCAAACTGGCAAAGGCCTGGCCCAAAAGGGAAAACACACGCTGGGGGGTGGCGGGGCTGGGGCGCCGTCCCCTGCCCCTCGGGGACGGTGAGGCCCTGGACCCGCCTCTCTCCACGGAGGAAGATTTCAGCCTTTCCCCCTTGCAGCCCCCCGATATTTTCTCTGGGTTGGGGGTTCTTTTTGTCCGCTGCAGTCTGAGGAGGGGCTAAACCCACACATCTCCCCAAATTTCTCATTTCTCGCCCCGTCCATCCACCCATCCATCCACCCATCCATCCACCCATCCATCCATCCATCCATCCACCCATCCATCCACCCATCCACCCACCCATCCATCCACCCATCCATCCATCCATCCATCCATCCATCCATCCACCCATCCATCCACCCATCCACCCACCCATCCATCCATCCATCCATCCATCCATCCATCCATCCATCCATCCATCCATCCATCCATCCATCCATCCATCCACCCACCCCCTGCGCCCAGGATCTGCTGCTGCCGCTGCTCCCACCCGGGGGCTCTGGCCGCTGCCCCTATTTCTCACTAATTATGTTCGCCTTCGTTACCCGGCCCCTAAGGGGGGACTCAAACGGAGCAGCCGTGCTCGGCCCCTGGATGGAAACGAACACAAAGTCGAAGGGCTGAAAGACACAGAAATGCATTCTACCGACGGCACGAGGAGACGGGGAAGAGAAAAGGGGGGAAGAAAGAAAAAAATGTTACGTGGACAGGGCTAAAAAAATAGAAATAAAGAACATAAGAGAAGAGCATGGCTTTGCAGCTAACTGGGGAAAACCATACAAATAAAAAAAAGTATATATAGCCACCAAAAAGAGACAAAATGAAAAAGAGACAGAGAAGGAGAGAAAGAAAGAAAGAGAAAGAAAGTCAGAAAGAAAGAGAAAATAACATTAAATCAAGCTACGGTGCTTTTCAACAGGCTCATCTGCAGAAGTGAACGTGCAGAGGTGGACGAAATACCTACCTTTGCAATTGGCAGTGACAGGAATGCGATAATAAAAAAAGAAAACAATAATCTCCACATTTGGAGGGCAGAATGGGAAAAAGACAAGGACTCTTTAGTACGGTGATCCAGACCCCTTGGCTAATCCCGTTTGTTTTTTGTTTTTTTGTTTTTTGTTTTTTTTAATTTTTAAAATTGGTCTCGTTAACTTTTTTTTTTTTTTTTAATTTTTCTTTTTTTTTAAATGGAAAGGCTGTGGCCAGCCACCGAGTGGGGTGGCCATGGGGGGCTTTGCTGGCTGGTGTCTGTAACCCGGCTGCGTTTCGGTCTTAAAAAGTCGCTATATAACATGGCAAAGTCCCGGATAACATGCAGGGAAGGTGATGGATGGAGGTGGGACACGGCGAGGGTTGTTGGGTTGTATTGGCCCAAAGAAAACCGGGGAGAAAGAGGGGCCAGAGGGTGCATGTGGGCGAGGAGGAGGAGGAGGAGAGACCCGGGAGGAAGGCTGGGGAAGGCAGCAGGGATGGATGGAGACGGGATCGGGTATTTAAAAGGGAAGGCAACGCCACGCAGCACCCCGGGGCACCCCTTCCTCCTCGCAGCTCTGGGGGTGCTGGGGGGGGGGCACGGCTCGCCCGGGGGACAGGCTGAGTCCGGAGTTTTTGGGGGGTCTGCAGGAGGTGGGGAGGGGGCCGGGTACCGAGGCTGCTCAGCACTCAGCACCCATCCTGCTGGGATGCAGGATGCGGGCGCCCGGGTGCGCAATGGCCACAGGGTGCTTGGCCTGGGGGGGGGGGGGGGGAGGGGGGCAGATAACCCAGCACCCAACGGCCTCATCCTGCAACCGTGAAGGAAAACCAGCCCCACGGCAGCAGGATCCGGCCGAGGAAAGGGGGCAGTAGCCAATTCAAGGGGGCAAAGGGCAATTCGCTCCACGGTATCGAAGCGAGCCTGCTACCTTTGTGGTATAGAGCTGCTCGGTTCTCTTCCCTTTTAAATTCCTTGTTCAAAATATAGAAAATGGAAATACAATGTTCAGCGGTCGTAAATATTTAAAAAACACATCTGCTTTTTTTTTTTTTTTTTTTCTTCTCCACATTAACACACACAAAAGCAAAAAATTCTAGAACAACACGACGACAAAAGGGGGGGGGAAATAAGAGAGATATATATCGTTTGCATTTCTGTACATCACAAGGGAAAAGAAAAGAAATCATGAGAAAGGAAACTAAAACAAGGGGGGGAGAAAAAGCACGTTTCATTGCCCTTCCCTCCCACTCGTCCCTGCTTCTGCTGAGCAAGAAATGGAAGTGTATATTACCGTTTGGGTTTTTTTCAAATGGGAGGCTAAAGAAAAACACAGATGGGATTAAAAAGAAAAAAAAAAAAAATAACAAAATAGAAACCAGAAAGAGAAAGAAGAGAGAGAGAGAAAGAGAGAGAAAGTTGTCGGAGCAAAGTCCCGCTGGTGCCGGGGAGCCAAGGGAGCTCGGCGGCCTGGGCGATGCTGGGTGCTGGGTGGGGGTGGGCCGGGGGAGAGCGGGGCGAGCCGGGCGCCTGGGTGGGCGGCGGGCGGCTCCTCGGCACCCGAACCCCCCCACGCCCCAGCCGAAACCACAGGAAAGAAGAAAGCAGAGAGGTGCCCCAAGAGGTGGGCAGGGTGCTGGGTGCTGCTGGGGGGCGCCGGGCTGGGGAGCCAGGGAGGGCAAAGGGGATGTGAACGGGGGGTTGGGGGGGGGCTCCTGGCCCCATTTTTCAGGGTGTTCCCGGCCCCACAAGTGTTGGGGTGTCAGCACTGGGTGCTGCCAGCCCGGGAGCAGCCCCACAGCACCTCACCTGTGGGGAATAAAGTCCCCCGGGGTGAGCGGGGACCTGCGTGCCCCCCCATTAGTGGGGTCCCCCAGCACGCTGCCTTCACTCAGCCCTGCCTCCAGCCCCCCCGCTAGCCAGAGCAGGCTCTGGTTAAACTGGGGGCTGGCCCCCTGGTCCCGTTGGGTCAGGGCTTTCCTCCTCTTAGTGAGGGAGGAGCAGAGCTGGGGACACTCAGCCCCAACGTCACCCGCCACGGGGACCCTGAGTTGCTAAATCTGAGCTCCCAGCACCAACGCCCCCCTCCAAACCCTAGCCTGGCCTAACCCCAGTCCCCACGCTGGGTGCTGGGGTCCTGAGTGCTGGTGCGCCTTGGCCCTGGGGAGGGTTGGGGCTGGTGGGGAGGTGGGAATTCGCCAGCTTCACCCATTTCTTGGCCATCGGGGCTCAATCCGCTCCCAGGGAGGTGCTGAGCCCGGTGGTGGCCCTGGCAGGTGACACCGGCCTGCCAAGCCATCGCCCCTTGGAGGGGGGGGGTGGCATCCACAGAGCAATGTGTGGCTTTGGGGGGAGGGATGTCCTGCCCCGAGGCGATGGGCTGGCTCCCCCAGGGGAGACTGTGCACCCAGCAGAAGGTTGGTGGGTGCTGGGTGGGAGGGGGTGCAGCCTGCACCCCCACATCTCCCCCCGTGTGCCCCGGCTTGGGGCGCTGAGCAAGCGGGGAAGGAGGGGAGAGGAGACCTGGGGGGTGGGGGGGGGTGGGGGGGGGTATCCTGTGGAGGGAGGGAGGGAGGGAAGCGAACGGTGATCCAAGAAAAGCCTACGTACATCCGAGGGCTCCGGGAGCGGGGCGCCGTGGCTGTGGCGGCCGTTCTGGGTGCTGCCCTTGTGCCCGTTCTGGTGCGGCGAGGCCGAGCGGCGGGGCGAGGGGGAGGACGGGCTGCGGCTGGAGCGGGCGCTGCTGCCCTTGGGGCCGTCCTGCCGGCGCTTGGGGCTTAGCCTGCGGGGGCACGGCACCATGAGCCCCCCCAGGAACCTCCCCAGCCCCCCCCCCCGCCCCGAGCCCGGCACAGCATGGCCCTTCGCCTGGCGCCGGCAGAGCTGCTGGCTGCAAGCCCGGGCCGAGACGGCGGGGCAGGTTTTGGCGAAGCAAGAAATAGGGTGGAAAATGGTGGTTTGTGCTTTCTCGCATTCAGAATGAAACCCCCACCTGGGCATCGTGTTGCCAAAACCCCCCCGAGGTGCTGCAGCACCGTCCCGCTCCCCATCCCACCTCCCTGCCTTCCATCCCCAAGGGTCCCCAATGCGGGGACACCGCTGTCACCCCCCCTCTCCCCGCCCTCCCATCACACAATGGTCCCCATCCCGGGGACACCTCTGCCACCCGACTCCCTGCCCTCGACCCCACGAGGGTCCCCATTGTGGAGGCTGGGGGGGGGCCGCTGGCAGTGGGGGGCCCCGGGCTGCCCCTACCTGCCGGGGGATTTGGAGCCGCTGTCGTCGGAGGAGAGCGAGATGCTGTGGGAGCTGCAGGAGCTGCGCCGGTGCGAGCGCCAGGCCGGGGACTCGCTGCGGGACCTGCGGAGAGGGCGGCCGGGGGGGCCGAGGGGCAGGCTGAGCCGCCGGGGGGGGGGGCACGCAGGGAGGCACACCGCCCCGCTGCCCCCGCCGTCCCAGCCCCTCACCTCTTGCGCTCTTTGTTTTTCTCTTTCCGTTTGTTCTTGGGGCTTCGGGACCTGCGGGAAGAGCCGAGAGCTGCAGGGATGGGAGAGGGGGCAGCACCTGGGGAGTGTGTGTGGGGGGGTTTCCCCGGCTCCCCCCACCCCCCCAGAGGCACCGAGGCTGTGAGTGGAGCAATGGGGAGCACCTGCCTGGAGCTGAGGTCCACTGAGCTTCAAACCACGGTGGGGGTCCCAGGCGGCTCTGGGGGGACCGTGGGGGCCACGTGCTGGTCAGGGAGGCCAGGCAGGAGGGGGTAGCAGTGGGAAGGGAGGGACTGGTGCTGCTCAGCACCCACAGGGCTCAGGCCCATTGTCACCCCCTCGCTTGCCTTGCCCTGTGCCAGCCCCCTCTGATCCTCTCTGCCCGCCCAGGCACTCTTTGCCTGTTCTTTACTGTTTTCAGCCTAAAACAGCGGTGGCGGCAGAGGGCATCCACAGACCAGAGCAGCAGCCAGGGTTTGCCCTGGCCATGGCTGCCTGGCATCACCCCTTCTCCCCCGGGGGGATATACGGGGCCGTGTGGGACCCCACGGTCACCCAGAGTGGCCCTGTGCCACCTCCAAGGGTAGGGGACGCCCAGCAGTGTTTGGGTGGGGCGAGGGAGGACGCTCACCAGGAGAGGGACAGACGGACAGATGGTGGGTGATGGCAGCCCACACTCACAGCCACTGTGCCCGACGGGTCCGTCCCCGTGAGCAGAAGGGATGGGGACAGCAGGGGGGCAGGGGACAGGGGGTCCCCAATAGTGGCAGTGGGGTGGCTCTCAGCAGTCGTCACTCTCACCTGTGTCTTCTCTTCTTCCGTGACCCCGACTCAGACCTGAGGGATGAAGAGGAGGCAGAGATGAAGGAGACATGCTGAGCCAGCCAGACCCAGGGGACAAGGGCAGGGGGGTGGCCCTGGGATGGGCTGCTAGAGGGGGCGGGTGACAGATGCTGTGGGGAGGTGACGGCCCCATGAAGAGCCATCAGCACCCATCCCTGTCCATGCATCCATCCTGCCCCAGCCCAAGGGCCTGGGCAGCCACCAACCAGCCCCCCTGCCCCCAACCAGCCCCCCTGTCCCCAACCAGCCCCCCCTGTCCCCAACCAGCCCCCCTGTCCCCAGCCCGACACAGTGTCCATCCTACCTGTCACGTCTGTGTTTCTTTCCAGTCTTCTTTTTCTTTTCCTTGCGGATGGGTGAAGAGCTGTCACAGCTTGGGGGGGAAGCGGGTTCCCTTGAGGGGGGAGCAAGGGACTCCCCAGTCCCGTTCCCATGGCCCAGGGGAGTCCTGTCCCACCAACCCCCCACACTCTGATCACTCACAGGATGTACGAACACCACATGGAAGTTATTTCCTGGGGGGATTTGGGGTGGGGATAGAAAGGGGTAGAAGGGCTCTGGCTGCCTTCATTGCCAGAGATCCCGAATCCCGCTGTGTCCCATTGCCACCTCGTGGGCTCCGCAGCCTCCAGCAGGAGACGGGGTGGCCAATTCCCACTGGGATTTCAGAGGGGGACAGTGGGTGGCAGAGGCCAGCCTGTGCCTGGTGGCCTTGCTTGCCCGGCAGGGACCCCGCAGCCCACCCAGCCCGGCGGGCACTCACCTGCGCTCCGAGCCAGGTTTCCTCTTTTTGCTGCCGTGGGGAAGGCAGAGAAGAAAGGGACATTAGGGACAGCATCCTGCCCAGGCAGCCAGCGCTAACCGGGGAGGGGACCAGCACGTAACCAGAGCCAGACCCTTCAGGGAGCCAAATCCTGCCCGGTGCTGTGCCCTGCAGCAGCCAGCTCCTTCCCAGCACGGACCGGTGCATGCAGGTGGGTGGGCTGGCGGTACATCCCACAGAGCTGTGCGTGTGGGCACACACGTGTGCGTGTTGCACCATCGGTGGCATGCAGATGCGTTGCACCTCTTGAGGGTGCACATTTGGGGGTGCGCTGCCCCCCAGAGTGGGGGGGACTTGCCCCCTGGAGCCTGGGGAAAAGGGCTGAGCTGGGAGGAGAGCTGCCCTCCTGGAAGAGGGGACAGTGCAGGGACAGCTGGGGACTCACCGGCTCCGGCGGTGACCCGATTTCTTTTTTTTTTTCTTCTTGGGTGGAGGAGAGGTGGAACTGCTCGAGCGCCTTTTCAGCCTGTGGGAGAAAGCAGACAGGGCTGGAGGACGAAGGGACAGCCCCCTGGCCTCTGTGACCCTCGAGCACACCCGCTCCCCAAAATCCCTGCGGCGGGGCCGCCCGGACCTGTACTCGCGGTGGCTGCTGTCCTCGCGGTAGCACTCGGCCGAGCAGTCGCACTGCAGCAGGCAGCCCTCGCCGTAGTCGGGGTACTCCACTGCATACTCCTCCCCATCCTCCCCGTGGTGGTTTTCGATCACGCTGCCAAAGGAGGAAGCACAGGATTCATTCAGGGCTCCCCATTACCCGTCTCACACCAGCGGGGCTCCGGGGAAGCCTGGGGCGGCCCCAGGAGCCGGGGGACATCCCCCTCTGCCACCGCATCCCTAAGGCACCTTGGTCACATCACTTGAGGTCCACACCCAGCAAAGCCCTGTGGTGGGGGGGGGGGGGGATCTTCTCAGGGTCTTCCTGGGGCTCCTGTCCCTGCAGAAATCCCCACTGGGCTGGCACAGGGACGCTGTGGGTCTGGGGCCACCATCTCCCCACGGGGTGTGACCTCGACACCATTCGGAGCCTCTTTTGGTGTTGCCCAAGTGCCGGGGCTGAGTGGGGGGCTGGGGCTGGCCCCGGCGGGCCGCAGGGCTGGATTAGGGTGAGAGGAGCTGGCTGGGGGCTCGGGGCATTCGGGTGATTATCCACCCACCAGCGGGAGCTGCCCAGGATGACCCAGGCTTTGAGGCCAGCGCCCCAGCGTGCCACTGGCTGGGCACCGAGGGCTGCCTGCTGCAGGTGATGTCCCCACCGGGACCAGGTGAGATGGGGTGGGGGGACATCAGGCCTGGAGCCATCAGGGTCTCCTCTCCCTCCTGAGTGACTTCATCAGCATTAATTTTTCCCGCTGCCATGGAAACCAGTAGGAGGTTGCCATTGACTACCGGGGCTGCGGGCAGGGCTTGGCAGAGGCCTGGCAGCTGGACCAGGCAGGCAGGAGGGACCCAGGAGTCGCTGCCCAGCTTTTCCCTGCTGCCGCCCTCCTCTGCCATCAGCCCCAGGAGCAGCATCAAACCCTGCTGGGAGCCTCTCATTTGTGCTTGGGGGATAGAGGACACCTCACCCAGGGAGGGATGCGGCTATTCAGGTGCTCTGGAGGGAACCGTAATGGATGAAGCCGTGCCTGGAGGGTGCCTGGCATCACCCCAGCCCAGGCGCTTGCTTCCCAAAGGAGATTTTCCCTCAGAAACCCGATGTGGGCTCCTCTGCCCTTCCCAGCCCGGAGGCGCGTGGCCGAGGATGCTGGTGGAGGAGCGCAGCCTCCCACGACAGCCTGGCCAGCGCCTCCGGCCGAGCGAAGGGATGCTCCCAGCCCCAGATGGCAGATCTGAGCACAGCACGTGTTGCCAGCCCTGGCCATAGGCAGGCCCTGGGCCATTTAACCCAATTAAAAATGGTTTGGACCAAAACTACAAGCGAGGCATCCCCCTCCTGACCACGGACGGTCGCTCAAGCGGGTCTCAGGCTCCCTTCTGCCCCGCAGCTGTGGCTTTCTGGGTGCTCTCCAAGCAACTCCTGCTTTGGCCATGACCCTAGGGCAGGAACAGCCTTTCAACCACCCACCCAACCGTGGGAGGGGGAAGAAAAGAGAGGAGCGAGCGAGGATAATTCCCTGTCGGACTCTGCTTCGTGAGCGGGCAGCGCTCCACACCAGAGCCTGCTGCCAGCACCTCACGCAGTAGCTGTGCTCAGAGGCTCAAGAAGGGCTTGTGCTGCCCCAATTATCCCTCCCCGCCTGGCACACGCTCCTGTTTGTTTTCAATCCCACCCGCCTGTCCATCAACCGCTACTCCTTGGGGACCGGGCTGTATCGCTGGGCTGTGCACACACAGAGGAGGGAGCTGGAAGGGCTCAGGCGGTCACGGCTCTGCTCGGTGCCTCAGTTTCCCCTGGGGGGTTTTGCAGATGATGTTGAGCTTTTGCATCTGCTTTGAAATAAGACCAGCTGGTTCAGACTCAGTCCTGGCAATCAATGGACGAGCTGTAAAAGTCCAGAGAGGTGCTGGAGCGTGACCAGCCCATCAGATGTTTTGCCGAGTACTCTCCCAGTCACTCAGCAAGGGCTGGGGCTCTTTATTCAAAGTTTACTTAACTCCCTTGTCCAGACTCTTCAACCAGCGCAGACTTTTGCGCCCAGGACATGCTTTGGCAGGGATTTGGGCAGCTCAGGTCCCCGCTACTTGAAGAGCCACCTCCTTTGGATCTGGCTCCTGCTAGCCCCCTCCGGCTTTGCTCTCCTCCAAGCAATCCTCTGCTTTGAGACTGCTCCTTCCAGCTCAGCACTATTATTTTTAGCCCCTGGGCTAATCTTTAATGATTACCCTTCGTTTTGCAAAAGCAGGCCTGCAAAGGTGACAGCTAGGACTGCCTGGGTAACCTTAAGACACCTTTGGCTTCCCTAAGTGCTCGTTACAGCCCCAGCCCTAACGAGCCTGCTGGGAAGATGCCCTGGAGATGACTCATGTCCCCGTGGGCAAAGGCCACTTGTTAACACGTCAGGCTTGAAGCTTGGTGACCTGGGCAGGTTGGTTTTCCCCATGCCTTGTTTTTTCCTGCCTGGAAGAGGATCCTGAATGCTTCGTGCTGCCCCGGGGACATGCGCCCCACCCCCGGTGGGCACAGCCCAGCCCTGTCCCTCCCTGCCTGCCATGCCAGGCGGGGTGGTGGGAGGAAGGCTCTCCCCCCCGCCGCCTGCCACGGCTTCCCTGCCTCCCCCCCTCGCCCTGATTTCCTGACCCTAATGAAGCATTAATATTCAGTGAACCTGCAGCATCTATTCCTGTCCCAAGTGACCTGGTTTCCAGGCTGATGGATGGTGCACGCCGGGCCAGCCACACTGCCTGGGCCATCCAGCATCGCGCAAATAGATCAGCATCGAGCCAGGGCTGACCCTCGCGAAGCTGGGGACAGTCCTACACGGGGCAGGAGGAGCAGGTGGCATGTCCCCAGCAGGAGCTGGGCTGCTTTTGACACCTAACCTGAGCCCCAAGCACCGCCCCCCCCCCACCGAGAGAGAATTAGCCCCCAGGGACCAGGCAGTGTGGGGAGGGATTGGGAGGCAGAGGCACCAGGCAGGAGCTAGCTCCCTGGAGAAGTTTATTCTGTGGGGCTCCCTGGGGTCACACCAGCCTGATGGAGACACAGGCTCTGGGTCTACCCAGGTGAGAAGCAAGCTCCAGCCCTGCCTATCCAGCCTGGGCCCCTTGCAACAGAAATTATTATTATTATTATTATTATTATTATTATTATTATTATTATTATTATTATTATTATTATTATTATTATTATTATTATTATTATTATTATTATTAATAATAATATTGCTATTGCTATTGTTGCTATTGTTGCTATTGTTGCTATTATTGCTATCATTAATATTTCTAGGGTTACAGAACAGCAGCCAGATGCCAAACCATCGCCAGCCAAGCTGAGTTACTCCAGCTTCACAGCTGGAGACAGGAGGACTATTCTGCATTATGGAGTTAAGAGCAAGGACTGGAAACCAGTGCCCTCACCCAGCTGGAGGCAGAAGCTGCGATTTCAGCCCTCGGGAGAGCAGGAGAGGTGACCCAAGGAGGCAGGAGCAGGCAGAGGTGAGGCACAGCAAACGTGTGGCTTGGTCTCTGCCACTGGCTGGTGGGGTGAGCCAAGCATCGAGACCTTCTGCACTTCAGTTGCATCGTTTGGGACAGGAGCATTGTAACGCTGGCCTCCCTGTACAGCACCCTGAGGTCTCCAAAAGAGCAGTGCAGGATAACCTCTAGCCTCTCTGGAGGTAGGATACTGCCTCAGAGAGGCAAACCCTGTCTCCAACCAAACAACCAAACAACCAACCGACCAACCAACCAACCAACCAACCATCCATCCCTCTCTATATCCCCTCTCTATGTCCATCCACCTATCCAGCCACCCCCATATATACTCTCTCCGTATCAGTCCACCTACCCACCCATCGACACGTGGAGGCAATCTGGGATGTGCCTCTCTGGGATGAGAGATGGGCAGGACGCACAGACGAGCTGACTCGCAGCTGCCTCACTTACATTTGGCGCCCATGCTGGTCCTCCCTGGTGAGCACGCCTTCCTTCTCCATCAGCATCTGCCGAAAGGTCCCCACTTTCTGCCGGATCTCCTCCTCGGAGTACCTGGATGGGCAAAGGTGTGGTCAGGGCTGCCGTGGCCGGAGCGTGGCTGCCCCAGGGACCTGCTGAGGACCACCGTACCTTCAGGAGCGACACGTGGCCCAAGGGGCCGGTCAGAAGGAGAGGTGGCATGGTGACAGTCATCAGGGACTGGAGGAGAGCAGATCCCTCTTCTTGGTCCCCTGCCACCACCCTCCATGCCCTCCTCTCTCCTGCCTGTCCCTCCCAGCAGTGCTTGGCAGAGGAAGGGACACTGGGAACAGGTAAAAGAAGAGGATGATCCTGAGGTTGCCATTCCCCCACACTGCCACAGGTCTTTGGGCACGTCCCCACCAAAGCCCCCAGCAGCGCCAGCATGGCAGCCGGTGATGCTGGGGCTCATGCCTGGCACCTCTGTCCCACCACGAGCCTCCCTTGCTTGTCCCTGTGCTGCACCAGGGCCCCGGCAGCCAAGCCAGCTCTGCGCTAACGCCAAACGCTGACTCAGGCCGCTGCAGGGTTATTAACAAGAGACACTAATCACTTTGTCCCTGGCATCCGAGAACAGCCGCGGCAAACCACAGCGCTCCAGCCGTCCCTGAAGTGTCCCCAGGGAGGGACGGGTGACAGCCCCAGGCAGGCAGCCCTGTGCCGTAGCCCACAGCCGCACAAGGGCACCCAAGCAGCCCCCTCGACCAAAACCACCCCAACGGAGGGGTGCGGCGGAGGCACCTCGGCATTGTCCCTGGGGACATCGACCCCCTGTCACCATCACGCTGCCACCCTGGTCGGGAAAGGGGGTAAGGATCTGTGTGCACCCAGTCCTCAGCCACACCATCTAGAGGGGCTGCTCACGGCCCGTACTCACCATCACGTCCCATTAGCATCGCTGTTAACGAGCTCAGAAAACTGGGTGTCACAATCTGGCCGAGCCCTGCAGTCCCCAAGGCTGGCACCTTGCAGGGCCCGTGCTGGGGATGGTGATACCCCCCACAGCACTGTGGGTGCCCCTGGGCGCCCTTGGGTGCAGAGGGACACACGGCAGCACCCCCCCCCCCCCCGCAGTGCCCATGGAGGGGAACAGCGAGGAGAGAGGAATTAATATTGATGAGCTCATTTGCACTGAGCGACTCTCATTAATTCCCCAGCTGGCCAGGCCTCCTGTGCACAGAGGCAGCCTGGCTGCTTTCCCTTCACCTTGCACCCTGCCTGGGTGCCCCGAAAACCAGAGCTGCTCTGCACTGTACCCTCGACGGCGGTGCAGCCAGCCGGGCAGCGTGCGCCCGTCCCGCAAGGATGGAGCTGCCGGCCGCGGCCGCGGCGCGGATATCAGCCGGCCGGCGGCAGCAGGGAGATGTCTGCCCGAGAAGATGAGCGGTTGCTGCAGCATATTACGAGCACGGCTGATGCTCTCGGAGAGGGGACGCGAGACCAAACAGGAGGTGACAGATGGGCCACTGCGGCTGGGCCATTAGCAAATCTGCAGGGGCAAGGCCAAGGCGAGGAACCTCCCTGCCCCCAGCGATCCTGTGATGCAGGCAGGAGCACCTCACCAGTCCACTCCCTCCTGCGCCCCCCCAGCGCTGCTTATAACCCTGTTGGAGGGATTTTGGTTTCGCATTTAATACATAGAATGGGTTTGGGAAAGAAAGAAAAATTGCTGACGCTTCTTTTCTGGACAAGAAATCCAGCCTGCAGGCAGGGAATAAATGGCACAGGCAGCCCGGAGCAGCAGCCGGATACAGCGCAGGCAGGAGGAGCCATCCGCGTTTCAGGAAACAAGGGGGTGCTTAAATCCCCACCAAAGTCCCTTTGCTGTCACACCCACTCGTCCCGGGGGCCCTGCCCTTGGCAGTAAGTGCCCCGAGGCCGTGGTCAGGATGCGGCCCCCAGCCCAGGCAGAAACCTCAGGGGTGCAAAGTGCTTCCCGTGTAACACCCCCGGGAGCCCCTGCGAGGAGGGGCAGAGCATGCGGAGGATTAACTGGGTTGACCAAGATTATTACTGTAATTATATTATCATTTCAGCATATCACCATCATCATCGTTATTAATAGCCTTAATAACAGCAAAGGCAATTATAGCAATAACAACAATACCGGTTGCAATATTGCTATTACCCATCGCAGTAATGATACTACTAGTAGTAAGATCTCTAGTAGGGCGCGGGAACCCGACAGGAGGCTCTGGGCTCCCCAAGGCACCAGGTCAGCCTTATTTATTTCCATAACGACAAATTAGGCACAATCATTATTCCAGTCTGTGTGAGACAATTTAATTCTAGGTCACGCTTGCGCTCTTAATGAAAGCCTTGGCGAAGCCTTCCCTCAATCCATTTTCCTTCTCCCCAGCTGATACCAGTCCCCGTCTACCCACGTGTGCCAAAGAATTTGCTCCATCCATCAGGTTTTAGCGAGCTGTCAGGGGGATCAGGCTGTTCGGCTGGTGCTGGCGCTACAGGGCATGGCTGTGGGTCTGGTGGGGATGGGGGGCTCCTCGCTGGCCCCCCAGCCCCTCCTGCCCACCCAGGCAGGGATGCTCTCCAGCCCCGCAGGTTTTCCCCCAGGGAAATTTCCCCCCTTTGTTTCCCCAGGGGAGAGCAAAGGCTGGGGAGCAGCTTGCGGTGCCCAGCCAGAGGCACAGCAGGAAGGGGGGGATTCTCTCACCCCAAAACTGGGGGGGAGAGAAGGAAGACAGAACAAACTGAAGCACCCAAACAGCCTCACCTGGGTCTAAAGCCCAAATCCCCTTCATCTCCCCAACACAAGAGGCAGAGAGAGACCATCTCCCATCCCAGGCATGCAGGGCATGGGTGGGGTGACAATGACGGTTCGCAGGACCATGACCAACTCGCTCCCCGCCCCCAGCTCCCCCTCGGCTCTCCTGGCGTGAGCTGGGAGCCCACATTTCCAAGCGGAGGGGCCAGAGTGAGCCTCCAACGTGTGTGTGAATGAACTCCTTAGGTCTGCGTTTATTGGAGGCGTTTAGCTTCACAAACCCACCCACCAGTTCACCCCAAAGTTGTCTGATTCGCCCAAAAGTGGATTTACTTCCAGCTGGGGACATCTGCCGCATCAAGGTATTTTTTTAGAGAGGAAGGAGAAGGGGAACAAGGTGCAGGTGGGTCAAAAGGATCCCAAGCCGTGGGGTCCCTCTCCAGCTCATCCCCAATGCCCTGCTACTCACCCCTGCTCCTCCATCATCTCCTGCAGCTCCATGCACTTCAGCTCCACCCGTCGCTTGCGTTCATGGTCCAGGATTTCCCGGTGAGCCTTCTTCACCAGGCTGGGCTCCACCAGACGCACCTCCTCCTCGCCCTTGTGCCACGTACCCGAGGCGCCGGGCTGCGAGAAGCCGTTGGAGGCTTCCTGGGGCGAAGGCACGTCGGCCCCGTTGTTGTAGAGAGCCATGCTGGTGTGGGCAGCCTCACCGCCAGCAGCACCTGGGAGGGACAAAAAGAGGTGGGGGTCAGTCCCTGGCCCAGCTTCTCTCTCACCCTGTGACAGCGAGGGGACCCTGCAAGGACCTAAAGACAAAATTTGTCTCAAGAGAGGTGCGGGCGCAGGAGGTTGATGGGGACAATGACTGAGAGATCTGGGTCTTCTGGCAGCACCCTTCCTGCCCCTTGCCTCAGTTTCCCCGTCAGCAAAGCAAGGCTGGAGCTATTCCCATCACCGTGCCGTGAGGGCTGGCTCACGGGAAAGGGAGGCACCAGCCTTGTACCAAGGAAAGCCTGGCAAAGCATTGGTCTGTGGCACCCAGAGCCGTACGGTAGCAGCAGGACAGGCAGGCAGGGGTCTCTCTGAGCCCCAGAGACCCCGCTGTCAGCGGGTGTGGGTTTGGACCAGGGACGGGCATCCGTCCTCACAGCCCTCTGGGGACACCCTGGGCACTGTCCCCAACCAACAAGGGGACGGACCTGAAAACCTCAGGTATCCCCTTGCATCCCCCAGCTGCGCCGGCCGGGGAATCTGCAGCCGTGGGACATCCTGGTGTCTGGCCCAGCCAGCAGATGCCTGTCGATGCCCTCTGGCAATGGCCCAGCACCCTCCTGCAATGGCCCAGCACCCTCCTGCAATGGCCCAGTGCCAGCTGCAAGGGAAGGTGAGGCTCCCCACCGCCTGCTGCCCCTCTGCCTTCTGCCTGCTCTTTCACCTTCACATGGCCCTGCCTCCTTCTTCTGCCACCACAGTCAATGCGTCCTCACTTGGCTCCAAAAATAACCCCTCAGAAGAGGACAACCATTCCCAAGCGGCACTGCTGCACTAAGGCTCCCTCCGGCTGCTGCTGCCCAAGCCTGGGGAAGGTGCTCCCAAATCTCCTGGATCAACCAGACAGACACAACCGTCTCAGCAACCTCAGGCCATCGCCGCACGGCTGAGCACCCATGCCTCGCTCTCCCTGTCCTGCGACACCCAGCTCCCAGCTCCCCTGCCCGAAGCACCGGCACTGGTCCCAGCACGGGATGCTCCCACTGCAGAGGCACTGCCTGGGCTTTACCGGGGGGCTCCCACAAACCCTTCTCCTGCAAAGTCCTACATAGAGAGAAACGATCAGCAGAGCACCCTCCCTCGCTCTCCAAGCTGGTTTTGGGCTCGGAAACGCAGCTTTTGTCAGCAGCTGCCTCTCTGGGGTGTTTCCAGCCCAGGGACCCTCCTGGAGAGGCTTTTCTGAGGATAAGTGTTGCCTGCACATCGTTGCCTACATGAGAAGCAGCCAACCCTTGCCCGCGATGCCAGAGGCGCCTGAGACACTGCTCAAGGAGGACGGGGCTGAACACTGGCCCCAGGGAAGGAGGGATCCCTCAGCCAAGCGTGGGCATGAAGGGAGGACAGACGGACCCCAGACTGATCTGCACCATTTCTAGCCCAGGGAGGGCTCGCTGCTCCTGCTGTCCCGTTCCAGCAGGACGCCGGGCGGTTCAGAGCTTTCCACAGCCGTGCCCAGTGGGACAGAGCTGGGGTGGGAATGCAGATCACCTGCGAGAGGCTTTGAGGAGGTTTCTCTGCTGTTTGAGGAGGGCAAAATGCCTCAGAGCCCTCCTCAGGTTGGCGGGGGTCCCAGCCTGGTGGGAAGGCATCTCCCACCCTGTGGCATCCCCAGGGGACATCCCCGGCTTTCCCGCTGCCACCGGCTGCCCCACGCGCTCATTTATCTCCTGATGAGCCTGCCCAGGGAGGATGGCAGATAACTGATTAATTACAAGGCTTTTTTTTTTTTTTTTTTTTTGCTTTTTTTTTTCCCCCTATTATTACCATGCAGAGAGGAGCCAGCAGCCTTTATTTCCACAGAGGCATGGAGGAGCAGGCAGCAGGAGATGCTGCTGGTGGAGCAGCTCTGCACCCCACTGGATGCTCGGCCCTGTTAGAGCAACTGGAGGGTCCCTTGGTCTCTGCAGGCAGGGCAGCACCCACATTTCAAGTCCTATGACACTCCACAGCAAAGAGCTGCCCCACTCAGACCTGGGGGGGACCTGGGGAACCCCCTTCATGTCCCAGGGTGGCCCTGGGCCAGAGACAGGACGGATGCCGCAGGAAAACCTGGTTTGGGGGCTCCTCTTCCTCTTTCTCCCATCAGGGCATGAAGTCAAAAGGCAGGAAGGAAATTTGGAAATGGGGGAAGCTCTGCACTGGGAAACCTTCACCCATCAAGGGGCTTGGGGAGGGAGGGGGAAGGAGAGGATGCTTTCCACAGTAGCCTCTGCTTGCTTTTCCCCAGTGGGAGTGAATTTTATCCTGAGCCCAGCAGTGGGTAAATTCATTGCCGTGAAACCTTGAGAGCGTGTGGAATATGCAGCTGGACAGGGAGGTGGAGAAGCATGTGAGATAAACCAGCAGCTGGATGGGTACCTGCGGGTAGGGGCTGCGTGGTGGGGGAGGCTTGCAGATCCTGCCAGGAAATGCTCCCCATCTCTGTAAAAAGGATGTGGTTGGAGATAACCCCCTTGCAGCCGGGGCCAGGCAGGTGGAGCCACTGCACTGTGTCCCAGTGTCCCCTCAACCGTGAGCAATACCCACCATGAGAGCTGATACCAGCCACCCTGCCTCAGCCACAGCATGGGCAGGAAAACAAAGGGAGAGAAAAACCACCCGCAAACCCCCTCTGGTTATCAATAGCAAAGCTGAGCCACAGGCAAAAGCCCTCGGTGGAAAACGGAGCCAGTCCTACACCTCTGGTGACACTGGGGACAAGTCATTGGGGCAGAAGGAGCCCAGATCCCCCAGGCTGGGTCCGTGCCCTTCCTGCCCCCAAAGGAGATCCCCTGTGACACCCTGCACAGGGGCAGCTCGGGAACACCCCAACCTCCATCCATCAGCCACCACGCGGGGACCGCCCGGCTCTGCCAGCTCGTGCCGGCACCAAACCCGGCACCAAAGCCCTCAGGGAAGGCAGCACAGCCCTGCCTGGCTCAGCGCTACGCCCCCCGATAATAAAGACGATGGTTAAATATTTCATTATCTGCAGTAATTACGCGCAAATCATCAAGCACTGGCAGCCCGCTGCCCGGCCACCTCGCCAAGAGGGAGAGGAGGGTTCCTGGGGTGAGCGCTGTGCCGTGTCCGCACGGATTCCTAAAGGCTGCAAGATGTGGGGACAGTTGCTGGCCTCTGTCCCCACCACCCAAACCCCCTTAGTGCCACCCAGGAGGGCTGAAACCCTCCAGCACCATGGGCTGGAGCAGTTGGGGAAACTCCTGAGCAAATCCCCCTCTTCCCGTTTTGCCGAGCCATTCACCCGCGTGTTTTGGGATTCCGATCTTCCCCGTTGGCGCTCCACGTGCTGCCTTGGGACCTGGGGAGGTCAGAACAGCTTTTCAGCTCTCAGGTGCTTTCTGCTGCCTGGATTAGAGCTTCTGGGAATGTTCGGAGCTGCCCCATCCCCATCTTTGTCCTCATCCTCATCCTACATATCCATCCTTCATATGTACAGTCATCTTTCATCTCCAGTCTCTATCCTCATCCTCATCCCCATCCTCCATCTCGTGCCTTGCCCTGAGCACAGGGCCCAGCCCAGCACGCCGGGTCTCACCCTCCCTTCCCAGCTGCGCTGAATCGCACCCAGCGTGTGGAGGACCCAGACACCAGTGTTGCCAGCCTGGCAGAGGCCGGGACAGACAGAAGGACAGACACACCACGGTCAAGACAGGCCTCATCAGCTTGGGGTGCAAGGACCAGCCTCGCCATCCTGCCGGGCTTTGGGGCTGCTGGTTTCCAGCCAAGCTTTGAACCGAGCTCCCTCCCTGCGGGCTGGGCCCCCCGGGTGCCTGAGGGGGTGGCCCGGGAGGCGGCCGTCCCCGTGTCTGTCCAGCCTGGGCTTTGAAGGGAAGCTCAGAGCTTCAGGAGCTCCAGCCCAAAGGGAAAGAAGAAAACAAGGAAAATAAGGGGAAAAAAAAAAAAAAAAAAAAAAAAAAAAAGTGTTATTTCACCAAGGCGCTTTCGTGCTTTTATTTTCTGACCCAGAAACAAACCCATTCCCAGCCGACGCTGCTCAAATCCCCCCGCGGGTGCCGCTCGGCCCCCCGGGCGCGGGGCTGCGCGGGAGGCAGCTGCCCGTCTCTCCTGCCCGCTGCCTCCACGGGGCCCTGCCGCGCCGTAATGCGGATGAAGCCGCTTTCCCGGCGGGAGTGGGGATGGCAGCGGGGGGCTGGAGGTGCCTGGATGCTCTCCCGGCATCTCCCCCTCGGTAGGGAAAGGCCGCGGCGGTGCCTGGGCACCCCCCACCCCCCCCCCCCCCACCACTGCCTCGGTGCTAATTAAAGCCGCCTCCGGCCAGCGCTCGATTAATTCTCGCCACATCCAGCTGCACCAGCCAGGGCGACAGCGAGCGCCCGCATGCCGGGGATGCGGGCGGCGAGCCCAGGACGGCGGTTCCCTGGACCACTCGTGCACTGAGCGTGCCAGAGCTCAGTCCCAACAAGCAGGGGACAACCCAGCCGAGGCGAGGACCCTCCGGCCCCACCAGAGAGGGCGAGAGGAGTGGCTCCCGGGGTTCCCCTGCCCACCGGGGTCTCACCAAGGCACATCACCACCCATCCAAATCATAATTCTGTCCCCGAACATTTACAGCCCTGTCCCAGGCTGCTCCCTGCCCGTGCCGTGGGGATGGCTGGTAGAGGGGCTTTTTTTTTTTTTTTTTTTTTTGCGACACAAAAAATGCCGGAACATCACGGCAAAGCAGCAGGCCTCCTCTAAACACCTGGGCAGAATTATAAGGAGGAAAAGTCCGGGGTTGCTGCCATTAATTGGGCTGACCTTCTCCGGATCTGCCTTCCACCAGCTCCTGAGTGCCAAAAACCATGAGTCAGACCTCCAAGAAGGAGAAAAAAAAAGAGGCAAAATTTGCTTTAAAAGTGTAGCTGGTCCAGGCTCGTTAGCACTGCCTCCCAGCCCCGAGCCAGCAGGGATCCTGCTCATGGGAAGGGGCAGCAGGAAGGGGCTGGGTCCATCTTTATTCCCCCAAGCCCAGAGCATCCTTTCCTCTAGCTGCCTGACCAAAATTTGACACCTCACAGACTATAAAGCAATTAATAAAGAATATACAGATGCTGGCAAGGGGGGGTCATGAGCTGGGCGAGGGCTTGATGCTGCTTGTGCATACCTACGTCTGTGCACACACTTATATATATTTTTTAAATAGATGAGGAGGCTGGTGGAGAAGCCAAACAGTTGCTAAGCAACTGGGCTCCTTCCCGGCGTGGGGATGTAGGGATGGGGGAGCCAGGGGTGGGGACCAGTCCCCCCCACTGGCCGGGCACCGCACAGGGTGTGGGCAGCCGAGAACCATCATCTCCCCTGGGAGACGCTCAGGAGAAAAGGGAGGGCGCGGAGGTGGGCTTTGCTCCTGTCCCCAAACCACCACGGCCAAAGCCCCCCCGCCTGAACCCCTTGGGCTGCCAGGGGAGGCCGAGTGAGCCCCGTTCCCAGCTCCAGCTGGAGGAGAGCTGCTGGGAAGGGGGGTCCCACCATGACAGGGACCAGCCCCAGGGGACCCCCCGCAGCAATCCAATTCCTGTGCCAGGCATGAGGGAAAAGAGGAGAAACATGTCCAAGTGACAGCAGCAAACGCCCCCCATGCCGAGCAAAGAGGCGGCGGGGCCAGGTGATGGGTACCTTTGGGGGACCCCCCAGCCCTGTGCCCCCCAGCTGTGCTCTCCTCAACCCCTTGGGGCCACCGTAGCCACCAGCAGCTGCTCGCTGGTGGCCAAGGGACCCGCAGGCAGCTCCAGCAGGCAAGGCTCAGGCCCCCGCTGCCCCGCCAGACTTTCCCCATCCAGGAGGTGCTTAAATAACAGGTGAAGACAGAGGGGGAGGAACAACCAGCCCCCCAGGTTTTGCATCCTTGGGGCCATTTTATTTGCTGGGCAAGGAGTCAGGAGGAGGCATAGGCAGCCCCATGGCCCATCACCACTTCTGAGGGGGTGGTGGTAATAATAATAATAATAATAATAATAATAATAATAATAATAATAATAATAATAATAATAATAATAATAATAATATCAATTACTGAGCACACAGAGGAGAGGGGGGCATGACTATCACAATGGGGTCACCTTCCCTGAGAGGGACACAATCCCGGTGAACAACCCCTGGGGCCAAGTGCTGCAGGTATGGGGGGGCCATGGCCAGAGCAGGGGGATCCCCCCCCCTGCCCCGCGCCCTGTGGCTGGCTGGGCGGTTGTGTAACGGGAGGAGCTATTCCGGGGTTTGAGCACATTATATAAGCCACGGGCCACCTGGCCGGGGAAAACAGGAGCTGGGAGACGGGGAGGAGGAAGAAGGGGTTTTGGGATTAAAGACCCCCGCAGCCAGCAGACCCCCCCAGCAGACAGAACTAAACCCACGGGGTGACCTGCACCCCACAAGCATCCCCTACCCGGAGCACCCACTGCTCTCCCTCCAGCAGCCCCTGGGACCTGCTGTCACACGTCCACCCACAGCCGGATCCGTCCCCTGGGGCAGGAGACCCTTTATACGGGGGGGGGAAGCACCATTTCCTTGGCACCAGGGACAAAATCAACCAAGAGCCCTGTGCCTCTCTGCCTGCCTGGCAAAGCCCCCACTTGCCAACCCCGGTGGGGACCGAGGAGCGAAGGTTCCCCTAAAAGCTGCCCAACTTCTGGCTCCAAAAGCCCCCACCTCCCCCGGCACGTGTTGCTGGGATGGGTCCCTGGGGCAGCGGGGAGCAGAGGGTGGCATCACGCGAGGCTGTGCTGGCAGAGGGGGACAGAGCAAGGCTGTTGTGTTTGGAGAACACCATGCACTCCTGTCCCCCAAATCCCCCCTGCTGGGGGTGTCCCCATGTTCCTGTCAGAGACGAACCCACCTGCCAGGGCAGGGAGACTAGCCGGCACACAAGCACCTGCACCCCATGAGATGATCCTCGGCGCTTGCCATCAAACCCCCAAACACTGGCAGCCCCCCAGGCGACCCCCCTGCAGCAGCAGGAGTGCGGACAAGCTAAGAAACATCCAGAGTCTGAAATCTCTGATCCAGAGGGGATGAATGAACCCACGTCCCCCGAAAGCTGCCTGCTCCCCCCCGAGCCGCAGCCTGACCCCTCGCCGGCAGCCCCCCGCCTGGCACAGCCCAGCCCTCCCTGGGGACAAACCTCCCAAACCCGGGCAGGTGAAGCACAAAACGTTTCCAAAAGACGAGCCGGCGAGCCGCCTTGCCCCTCTCTTTCCCCACGCAGGGTTTGAAATCTTACCAGCCAAACCCGGAGCCGCAGAGCCCCCCTCCCCAGCACGGCCTGGGGGTCGGCGCAGCAGAGAGAGGGGCTTCCTTCACCCCAACCCCACAAGGCACCAGCATCTGCTGGGGGCTCGTGGCCGTCCCGTCCCTCCCAGCACCGCGGTGGGAGCTGAAAAGGGGCGGCTCGCTGCCCCCCGTCCCAGCTGTGCCCCTGCAGCAAGGGGCACGGGGGATGTGGGGTGCCCCCCGCTCAGCCCAGCCGCACCGGGGAGCGTCCGACACATCCATGGCCCCCGGCACCCCAAAAAAAGCATCTCACCTCCAAGCTCCTCGCCCCATCCGCACCCCCGGGAGCATCAAAACCCCCGGGGGATGCCCCCCACCACCCCGCCCCCAGCACCCCGGCGGCGTCCCTTTTGGGAACCCCAATTCCAACCCCCCCCCCCCCCCCCAGCCCTGTGGGATCCTCAGTCCCCCCTTCCCCCCCAAGAAGCATCACATCCCCCCCCTCCCCAACACCCCTGTCCCCCCCCATCCCTCGGGGTTCCCCAACCCTCCCCACCCCCCGGTGCCGGCCCACTAGCCAGGCCCGGGCCCGGCCGCGCCTCACCTCTCCCCGCCGCTCCGCCGGGCCCGGCCCGGAGCCGCCGCCGCCGCTTCCTGCGCTGCCCCGCTGGGCCCGGTGCGGCCCGGTCCCTCCCGGTGCGGCCCCTCCCGGCCCGGTCCCTCCCGGTGCGGCCCCTCCCGGCGCGGCCCCTGCTGAAGTGCTGGACAGCTCCGCGACACAGAGCCGCCCGCCGCGCCAGCGCGCCGCCCGCCGCCTCACAGCGCCGCCTGCCGGGCGGAGGCCGCACCCGCACCCCCACACCCCCCCCCTCCCTCCCCCCAAACCACCCCCCACCTCGGGGCGCCCGCCGTAGCCACCCCGACCCCCATCTTATCATACAGCGCTTCGCCCCCAGCCTCTCCTAGCTCACCCCGGTGTCGTCGTCGTCGTCCCCCTCCGCCTTCCTCCCCACTTCTCAACACCTAGCTGCGCCCCCCCAAGCCCCCAAATCCCCTAAAAAGCCCCCCACACACACACACACACCACCCAGTCGCCAAAGCTACCCCTTGGGGGGCGGCGACAAACGCCAGCCACCAAGCCCTTGCCCCAGCCAAGCTCCTCGCACCTGAGGGATGCAATCGGCAGAAAATCCACCACCCTGTACCCCGCCCTGTACCCCCTCCCATCCTACACCTCATCCTGCGTCCCGTCCTCTGTCCAATCCTCTATCCAGTCCCGTATCCCACTCCATATCCCATCCCACACCTTACCTCCTCGCCACGATGCCCCACCTCGCCCCCAGTGCCAGCCCAGTCCTGCCCACCCCCCTCCCAGTTCTCAGCTGATTTACCAGCGCTGCCTGGGACCGCCCGAGGCACCCCCCATCCCAGCAGGTTCGGGGGGCTGCCCCGGGGGGCTGGGGTGATGCAGGACGTGCCAGGTCCGCACCAGGGATGTTGTTCAGTGCTGTGGCACAGTTGGTGTTAACGAGTCCATAATTAATTCTCATTTCCTCCAGCGATGCAGAGCATTTGCCCTCCTTGTGGGCCAGGAAGCGGCGAAACTGGAGGGGGGGGGGGGGGGGAAGAAGCTCCCAGTACAACCAGTACCAGCAGCTCCGGTCCCAGTTAACCTGGTGGTGAGCAGCAGTGTGGCAGGACCTGGCCTGAGGAGGAGAGCTCAACTGGGTTGCAGCAAGGAGGGAGCAGGGTGATTTCAAAAAGAGAAGGTTCATTGAAAAAACTCCAAAGGGACCAAAATGAGAGAAAGCTCCTGCAGCAGCTCTGAACCGGCCTTGTGATCCTTGGGGCCACCTTCAGCCCCACAAAATTTCCCTGTGCCATGCCATCCTGATAAGGGAAAGGGTACCCCAGTCTCCCCAAAACCATTCTGAAACCTCACACCGTGCTTATGGCAAGGGATGGGGTACCCAAACCACCCCAAAACTGCCCAGGGTGGTCACGGCAAGGGTTTAGCTGCCCAAACCACCCTGAAACCACCCTGGCTGCTCTGCCAGGGACACCACATGCACCCAGCTGGGGATGCCTGGTTGCTCCAGTGCCCCCACCCCGTGCCTCAGTTTCCCCTGCACTGCACAGCCGCTGCGCCCTATGTGGCTCCAGCTCCTGCCTTAATTCAGCTGCTCGTTTCCGAGCAGAGCGCTAGCAAAGGCACCTGGGTGTCACTCCGCAGTGGGTCTGGCCTCAGAAGGAGGATTTGGGGCTGCAGCAGGGCTGGGGGGGCCAGAGCTGGGGTCTAAGGGGGGCTTTGAGGGGCTGCCCAAGCTGGAAAGACCTGTCTGGATGGGGATGTCCCCACAGCTGGTGGCAGCTAGGTGATGCTCTGCTCCCCGAGATGCTCTGGGGAGGACTGGACCAGGGACCAAACCACTCCCAGCAGCAAAACTCACTGGCACCGACCCAGAATCACTCCCCATGACCAGAGCTGCCATCCCTCACCTTCCTCCCTGTCCCCCATGCACAGGGCTGGGGGTGCCCATGGGTCAAGGTGGCAGCAGGTCATGGGGATGGTGCCAGCTAGGAACAGGGTGAAGAGCATAAGCATCCTCCTTCCACAAGGATTTAACACCCCTTTGAGATTGTTTTCTACAGGCTGCTCTGCACAACCCATGTCCCATGTTCATTATCGGTCACCCTCATCAGTGTTATGAGGGTAGACACCATCCCGTCTGCTGCTCAAGGAGGGGCTGGGCCAGACCCCCCTAAACTCAGCAGGTGGGATAGGGGTGCAGCTCAGCCCAGAGCCCCTTCACCTCCCCAGCATCCTCACCCCTAACCCAAGCAGCCTGCACAGAGGGGAGCGGGCAGAGGATCCCCAGGTGGATCAAAGCCACGAGTGGGAGCCCAGCAGGGCAGGGCGTTCACTGCTGGGCGAGCGGGGACACCCACCAGCATCTGGTGCCACCCACGGGGTGCGAGGCACACAGGCACACACAGCCCCCACACGCTGCTCCCCCCCAGCTCCAGGGCAGCCTCTCCCTGCCTGAAACAGCAGCGGGAGACGGTGGCTCAGGGTGACAGAGGGGCTGAGCGCAGGCTGCAGGCTCTCCAGGCTGTTATTGTAGGGTCTACATAAACAAAGGCCTTGGCCATGCGTTGGCCCAGCTCTATTAAACTCTGGCCAAGCAGCAGGGCTGGGGGGGGGGGAGGGTCTGTGTTGCAGCCCCCAGAGCATCCCCAGGGCTGCTGCTGCCTCCCCCTGCTCCTGCCTTTGTCCCTGCCATGTCCTCCCAGGGCGAGAGCAGATGCCACCGCCTAGGAGAGATCTCTGGGCCGCTCCTGGTTTAACGCTGGAAGGGGAAAAACAGCCCATGACAGGGAAAATCCAACAGCTCCCCACAGAGCCTATGCCCTTTGCACCACCATTAGCTTTCCCACACCCGCAGTGTCCGCAGTGCTGAATAATGTATCAGGCCCTGAGAAACAAAGAAGATAGGGGATATGGTTAGCCCTCCCCGGCAGCAAAAGCAGCACAGGGAGACCCTGGCATGTGGGGGTCGAGGGGGGGCTTCCCAGGCTTGGCTGGGCGCTGCTGGGAGTCAGGGATTTGCAGCGGTGACACATCAGGTTTTGGGCAATAGCCTGGGAGAATAGCAATGGGAGAGCTGGTACAGCCCAGGGTGCAAGATCCCAGCCAGAGAGCTGGCACCAGTGGTAAACACAGCCAAAACCATGCCTGGAACAGGAGGGAGAAAGGCAGTATCCATCTGGGTGAGAAAAATAGAGAAAAGCAGCAAGAAAAAGCTGCCAGGCAGGCAGAGAGCTGGGGGGTTGCAGCTGGGAGTGTGGCTTGAAGGGATGATCTGGTGGAGAACAAAGGGGGAGAGATGGAAGGAGTAGGGAGAAGGGACGGTAATTGCAAGCAAACAGGCAGAGCTAGACGCAGCTGGGGGGGGAAGAGGAAGAAAATAATCACTTGAAAGAAACCGAGGATTTGGGAAGGAGAAAAAAAAAAAGCAAAAAAAAAAAGGTGATAAATAATTAAAGGAGATCAAACGAGGCAGACAGCAGAACAGGCCTAATTGCAAGGATTCGTACTGAGGTTCGACATCTCCACCAGCCGCCTCCCGACGCAGAAGAAAGGGTGGCCGGGAGCGGCCGTGCCGCATGGGGAGCGCGCTGCTGGCACGGCACAGGCAGTAGCCCCTGATCAAAGCCCAGCGCCGGCTTTCTTGATGCTCAGCAACCGTGCCCAAGCCAGCAAGGGAGCGGGGAGGAAGGAGACGCCAGCAAACTGGGCGAGCAAATCAAAGGCATGAAGGGGAAGGGGCTGGGGGGCAGCGCTGTCCCACGAGAGTCCCGGGTGTGCGCCCGGCGGGACCTGGAGGCTCCCATCGACCTGGGCTCAACCCCGCAGCCCTGCTCAGTGCTGGGATGGGTTTGCTGAGTCTGCTCCTGCTCCCCCAGGGCTCCCAAAGCCTCCTAGCCAGGATTTTTCTTCCCCATGGATTTGCCTGGCCCCTCTTTGAAGAGCTGGGAAACTTTTTGCAGCCACACTGTGCTGCGGCAAGGAGACCGCTGCATCCAAGCGCCCACCTCCCTTGGCTCATTCAGCAACTGCCACTTGCTGCTTTGCTTTAGCACCACCTGACTCGAAGAAATAAGTACAGGAGGAAAGAATGAGCCATCACTGCCCTTCGAGCCTGAAAGGACCTCCAAGTGGTCATTCGTCACAGGAGCCAGCTTTGCTTTTACAAATCCAAAGGGCAGCCCTCCCAGAGCAGCACCCAGCTGGGGAGAAGCAGAGACCTGCTGCAGGCCACGAGTCCCCCGTGGCATCTTTCCCCAGGACCAGTTGCCCCAACCTCCTCCACCACACTAGCTGATCTGCCCCAGCGTCCCCAAGGTCCCCCCGCAGGTGCCAGGGCCAGGCAGAGCGGTGACGGAGCTCAGCTCGAGCGTGCTAACCTCTCCTCACAGGCAATCAAATCCCCGCCCCGGCAGGAGTCCCTGCATATTAATTGCACTGCGTTATCCAGCCATCTGTTCCCGCAGCCAGGAAAAGAGCAGTCCCTTTGGTCTCCTTTATTAACAGGTTTCCCTGTAAATGCAAACAAACCCTCCCGCCTCGGCACAGCGCTCCAGATCTGCTTTGACGCACCCGGGAGGGAAGCGAGAGCTCGCGGGCATTTTAGTAAATCAAGAGCAGTGAATGCAAAGGGGATGATTTAACGGTGCCTGTGGCCAGGGGAGAGAGCCAGGGGAGCAGGGGGGAGAGGAGAGGCCTCTGCAAAGCCAAAACCGCGGATCAGGGGGTTTCTGATCCTCCCGCTCATATTAAAACACCTCACCCCGCGAGGGAAGGGGGAACCTGAGCTGGCTGCTGGGGGAGATCTGGCCGTGCCTAACCCACCTTGGGGTGCATTTCTCTCTCTCTCCTTTCCCTATTGACCCACCATCTCCCCAGACAAAATGCTCTGTATAAAGAACAGAGTCCAGGCTGCTTCACTGCAGGGTTTTACACCCCTACCAGGGCTGACCCTGCCCCTAAGCAGTGCTTGCTGCACAGCCACAAGTGTCGGGGTGTCGGATCCACCCCAGTGAAACCAAGCAGGAGCTGGCTCTGTCAGCCAGAGAGGAACTCGCTACGTCTGCTGGACAAAGCATGAAGCTTCCGAAAAGGGATCAACCACACAAAGCCTGCTGTGAACTTCCAGTCCCAGTAAACCAGGACTGAGCAGCAGTGACGGGGGGACACCAGCTCCATCAC